AGTTTCCATATGTACGGCACTGGTTTCTTTCTGCTTGGTGGCGTTATTTCGTTCTGCCTTACTTGGGCACACTGTTGTGAGTGTATTTTAAAAGGAAAAAATAAAAGGAAATAAAGTTTTGAAAAGCTGAGGCATGACCCGAAAGGCCTTCTTGATTAGTGTTCCTTTTGATAATCTGAACACAATCGCACAACACTGCTGAGTTCAGTAAGTTACCTGTCATGAAGATAGAGACGACATATAGCAGTGAATTCGGTGGAAAGCAAGGTGAGCATGCTCCGGTTATGACGCCAATACTTCCAAATACGAAGGTGAACACCGAAAAGAAAATCACCGCTTTGTGATGAGCTGAAATATGCTTTATTAAAGGCATTTTTGACACTTTTGCTAAACTAATAAGGAAAGGTCATTCGTCGATGTCTATTCGGTCTTTGCGATGAGGTGTGGACAGCTGCTGTGTCTTGAAACGCTCATCTCAAATCTGTTCTCCAAAGTAGGCTTTCTCAAGCAGGAGGTCGTTGGTTCAACTCCTTTCCGGGCTGCTGTTTTACTTTTTAATTAAGCATAATCAAGAAGGCTTCTGAACTACATCGACGGTCACCTGTAGTTGCATGTGTGAAGGTTTGCTACTGACTTATGTCAGCTCATGGCGCCCATAGGCCGAGCAATGAACCTTCCCATGCATACATGCGCGGTATTCGTGTACTGAGGGTCAACTACCTTTAGAGACGAGTTCCTAGCCAAGCCTAAGGTTTTGGACTGATTTGGAAAATGAAGGGCAGTCAAAGAGATTATACACTCATTAAAATTTCATGTGGCTGTACTTGAAAATGTTGCCTTGAACATTTTTGTCTTTTCTGAAGTATGGCTCAAAAATTGATTCCTTCTCTCAAAACAGATTTAAGTGATGGATTATTCATAGGTAAGTGACCGCTCTAATTGCTTCAAGGTTGAATGAAAATTCCAGCACTGGCAAAATTTGTCAGAAGGGGTAACCTGACTAGCTGGACTGGAGCAAAATGACACCCGACCTAAGTCACCATACGTCGTCTTGACGTATGGTGACTTAGCAAACGTTGCTCAAAGGCAGCGATTACGATAAAGAGGGAGCGCATCGGGGAAGCATATGCACCACACGAAGCAGTTACTTGGCTGCCAAGGAAGCGAGGTGTGGCGCTTTCACGACGAAAGGTGCGCTGGTTGCTGAGCAGGACTTCGAAAGCACTCCGCCCCAAAAGCGATCCGCCCACTAGTTTACTTGGTGATTTGGACGAGCTGCGTTGCCAGCAGCGGCACAACTGAAGCAACTCGACTGGAGCATGGATTGGCATGCTGTCACCAAAACTCGTTCATACGTCCGCTTTCTGAGCTGTTACCTGTTCATGAGTGAAAACCAACGGCCAAAAAGGGGGTCCCGTTTTGCGTTTTCTTGACGGATTCTTTCGCCACTGGCGTACCACTAGTCTCCTATAAACCCTTCTTGAATCTATCATAATCACTGCCTTCAGTTTTGATAGGAACTGATCTAAATTCTACAAACTATTCGCAAGCGTTGAGAACTAAACATGCCAAGAGCTTCTCTAGCTGTTAAAAAAGGATAAAGGATAAAGCATTTGCCGTTGATCAATCCCTTTTTGGGATGCGGCACGCATTCTACTTCCATTTGTACATTCGTAGTGGCGTTTGAATGCGATGTGGCCTATACAATGACTTGCGGGGGCCGATGTACAAGTCAGTGTTTTTATCCTCCCAGACAAGTCTGGTACCAATTAACCGACCCGGAGGATGGAAGGCTTGGTTGGCCCGGGCGACTCACGACCTAAGTTCGTACCGCCGACCGCGCACGTGGTGAGCGGTCCGGGGTCGAATCACTTTGCCGTCGAACCACTTTGCCTGCCATTGCCACTACATTCTTCCTCCCTCTTTCTTATTCCATTAAAACAAGAAACGATGCTTGGGCTTAGCTTTTCAAGGTGTTTATATACATGCACATCTCATTTCCATTGCACAAACTAACCTGGTGACCTTCCCTAGTATGCTTCAACTTTCCAAGGGTTCCCTTACTTTCAGTATCACTGCACTAAAAAACACCTTCAACTGTGCTTGTGTTCAATTGAGCTAAATCAGAAGAGTTCCTGAATTTCCACTTCCCGCTAACAATTCGTCTGCTTCCCAAATACTTTTGCGACCAGTTGAGCACCAAGTGCAATAACCCATTTTTGGCATATTACTTTTTATTCAAAAAGTGGCTTGTGTATTTTGTAGAGGGCTTTTTTCAATCTTACTTCTTTTTCGTATACAGCATGGCTCAAATACGTATAGCCGAACTCAGCTCATTTTATGAAGCATCCAACTTCTAGCCAGCTACTCTAGTTATCCAGAGTTCGTCCATCTTCCTTCTTTTTTTGAATTCTTAGGTTCATTTGCTGTCACGGTGAACGCACTGCCTTAGCTCATTGGATTAAGATTCTGAAAGGTTAACTCTTTCTTGAGCTCCTAATCCAACAACTGAAGGGAGACTACATTCGTCATTTCTTTCCCTACATCACGCCATTCTTAACTATCGCTCATTTGAGCTATCTATGACTTTGGCATGGCAGTGATAAATTCTGAAAGCTATCGAGGCAACAAGTGGAGATGTTGAAATGACAAGTAATACACGGTACGTAAATTTCTATACAGAGGTCAGATTTTAGATGATTTCGCGAGGCAGATCAAGCCGTCCCACCCTTTCGGAATTGACCAATTGGTACCATACTTCTCTGGCGAGTATACTGATATTACTGCTCTGAATGAAAGTGGAGTATCTAACGCGTTCCACAAACGAGTACCTTTTCCTGGTCCTATTACCCAGGAACGCAAGAACATCATGGATTGGATCCCCTTTGTCATAGCGCGAGGCCCACTTTAGCCAAGCTCTTAAAGGAATCTTCCACGGAAAAAGCTCCGCCCTCATTACCACAGAAAACGATACCTTAAAGGAATCTTCCACGGAAAGAGTGATCATTTTGTCTTGTGTGTAGGATTAGTATTATCGAAACTAACGCTTATGTTCCGTTCTTTTTGCTATGCTCATGAGGCTAGGGGCCTAAGGGGTATCGTTTTTCTGTGGTAATGGAGGCGGAGCTTTTTCCGCGGAAGATTCCTTTTAACTAGGCAAGATAAGATGTGCAAGGGAATCAATTTTTTTCTCTTTAGAACCCCTTACCCATACTGATCTCGCCCTTCCTGAAGAAGGTACGAATGTCATTCGATGGGGTACGGCTTGCTGAAACTCACGGAGAAATCGGTGCAGAAGCAATTCTTTGGATGCTTCGTCATTAATCTCCAGTACATTCCGGAGATGCGATTGGACGACTGGATCAAATTTGCTCAGGCATTGTTCGCCTAAAAAATTCTGATTACAAGTTTATGAGCAAGGACCCTGAAAGGTGTTCAAATCAGATTCACACTCATTTACTGTTTTTTTTTTTCAATTTCAGAATTATAATATGACAAGGAACGTTTTTTTTTCAGCTGAGCGGGCCTTGCGACTGCGCGGGATTAGCGCTAGGGGAAAGAAGAAGAAGGAATACACATCGGCTAACCTTTCTCCTGCCATTTTCAATGCTCATAAGATCATGTGGAGGCCAACAAGAGTTTACTCCTTTGGGCGGATATTGAGCATCTCGTCTACAAGACATATTCACGTGTATGAACAACCATTTTTTGCGAATAGTTGATAAAAATATATGGTTTATTTATAATTACTTACTTTCAACTTATTTACAATTTTCAACACATCCAAGATTATGAGTGAAAGTTTGCGGTCACTGCTATCATTTCATGGGCAGATTTGATGGCAGGCTTCTGTTTTATAAGCCATTTTAAGCCAGGTCGAAACAGCACCCTCGTGGAAAGCAAGCTTTATGCTGCTCCCATAGAATATAGAAACGGTTGTTGAAATAGTTTCTACTCAGTGAACCAGCTGCTCAGGTCGTAAACAACCAAAACAAAGAGAAGGCCATGTGGGTGTTCTCAGCTCTATTATTGTTCCAACGTCTTTAATTTTCAAAGCGCACTAGTCCCAATTTCCTCATGGCTTCTCTAAGAGGACACGTGACTCAGCATAAAGTATCGGTGAAGAAGAGTGTGACAAAATAAGGCTGGGTCAAAACTATTCACATCTTGATTGTCTATCCCAAAGCTTCGGTAAGCTACCTGAAGAAACATTCTACGACTTAGGATGGTTCTTTTGCTTGACGGAAAAGAAAAGCTACGAAGGAGTCCACCAGTGAAGAGAAAAGCACAAAAAAACCACGAAGGCCTTGAAGTTATTTTCGATAGTCATTCTTTTCCAAAAAAGTATCAGTGACGGCGATACGCCAAAATTCGCTGGATTCCGAGAGGCGATAACAAAATGATGAGCAGGGCAGCGAGAGAAATTTGCGCTGCGATTATAACCTAAGGCGATAAGGTATGTTTACCCAAAAACCACGAAAGCTCTAAATTCTACTTGAGTTGCGGGAACCAGCCGATGTACAGGGTGGTCCAAAATTATGAGGACCGCGTGCGCGCGCAGTCATATCCACTTTTTTCCGTATCGCTCCATTTTCATCTCGTTTTCTGTGCACTATGTGAAAGGGTACAATGTCTTCTTCCTAATGAAACCAAATTTCATGAAGTTCTCAAAACTAGTGAAATAACTACTTCACTTTGAGTCAGTCCTCAAATTGAACTCACTAGGGGCTCTGGCACGTTACATCTAGCAGCAGTCTAACCTATCAGAGGAAGCTCCTTATGAGCAACAGTTCAACTCTTCAATAAGTTTGGAACCACCACAGATGGAAAATTCGGGACTCGAAAGTTACAGTTACCACCAGGATAATTATCAGATGCAGAAACTAGGTCTCCCCTTGTCGACTTTCGTACACCCAAAATGAAAAAATTGATGTGAAAACCCAGCCAGACACTCTAAAGACTCCACATCTGTAGTGGATAGAAAGCCACACGAGTAGTCTACTTGACTTTCTTACAGGACCGAGCACCCAAGAATAAAGCAAAAATCCCAAAAAAGCGATTTTTCGAGTTCGTTGCTTTCGAAGAATTGTTACAATGGAACCATCCACCTAATAGCTCTAGATTTCTGTATTTCACACCCTGGATGCAAGCGCAAATAAATGCATTTGATTCCCTGAAGAAGGCAGAGCAGAAGGCCTGGAAACATTTGGACACGCCTTAGTTGCGTGCCACCGCACGCGCCATCCCCCTCATCTGAAGGCTCGTGTTAACGGGGCAGTGGCAGATCTCAATTCTATTCTGGAATTACTTTGAGGTAAGAGTTACAAATACTTCCCTGAAGTTGGTTTGTTCCATCAAGCTACTATGCGTTTTTAACGACACAATGTCTTGGTCCTCATAATTTTGGACCACCCTGTACAAGTCAGTGTTTTTATCCTCCCAGACAAGTCTGGTACCAATTAACCGACCCCGGAGGGATGGAAGGCTTGGTTGGCCCGGGCGACTCACGACCCAGGATTTGATCCCCGGACCGCTCGCGTGGTAAGCGTGCCACTTGCCACTACACTTGTTTTTGCTTTTGTTTTTTACCCCTTGTTTTTTGAGATTACTAGTCGAAATTGTTGATAACCCGTCCAAAGCGAGCTCCACTATCGTACCATGACCGCTGCAACTTAAAAAAATGCGACTCCCGTCCTCACTCTTGAAGAGACAGTAACCCTCCGTATCCGATCCCCTTCCAGAACTTGCAATTACGAACCCCGTTTGATCTGGCAAACGTAAGATTTCCACGCTCCTCGTCTCGATAGGCGGATTTTATGAGTTAAAGTCATGTATAACTTCCGTAGTTTAAGGAAGAATGGAATTAGGATAGGTGCAATGCTAGGGAACGAAGGTCAAAGATGCCACCCCAGCTGGAGGAGGCCGTTTTGGCAAAGTTCGCTGAGAGGTGCTCCATCGAGCTATACAGCTTTCCTGGGAATCTTGCTCTTTTCTAGGGGGGCTTTCTGTCAGTAGAACGGTTGCTATGTTTCAGTTGAAGACGCAATCGCTCTTCGGGTTCGACGAAATTGCCGCATTAATCTCGCGTTCGATTCGGAACCGTTGACATGTGTGCGTGGCCTCTTTTTTCCCACGTCGGGATCGTTTTGCACGTCAGCGACGACGTGAAGAATTAATGAGTCCTTGGAAAATCTTTCCAAACAGGAAAAGCATGAACGTTAATGGACCTTTTTGTTGCGAACTCGCGTACGGTAACGGAATTAACGTTCCATCCGACAGCACGCAGTCCCACCACAAACCATGATGATGAATTTCGGCAAGTTTTGGTCGATCAACTACCTGTAAATGATCGACGGTAAGCTGCAGTACTCTGAAAACGTCGAGCCTAGTGGTGCTCACCTGCCACACTGGGCTGAATAAACCGAACGCGGTCAGCAGCATACCGGCCACAATAAGCACAATTGAGATAATCAGCACAATCTTGTACATATGCGGTGATCCTGTAAAGAATACCTGACGTTGTTGCATGCAAAGGTATCAGCGACGAGCATTGACGAGTGCTTGGCGGCCAGAAGACGACGTGTGAAGAACAGTAGGGTGGAGAGCAAAAGTGCAGACTGCTGATGCTGTTTTGGGAAAAAGTACGCTCAACACGAGCCTCTACGCATTATGAATTATGGACATAGAAAACAAAGGCGTTGCTCGGTGCGATGAACAGGAAAGGAAATGGAATGTCTGTATAGGAGACCTGAAATTTGATAAAGCAGCTGAGAAGAACAGGTGTATGCTCAGCTGAGATATCTATGGAAACCAAGAAAAGAGTCCAAAACTGAAGACCAGTGAGAAGACTCTGAAGGAACTACAAATGGTCACTGTGGTCGCTTGGCGCCACGCTTCTTGTCCAATTTTTTTCTTTTTCAAAGAAATCTCTTTCAGAAATGAGAGTCGGGGGAAATTGGCTTCACAACGAACGCAGTGCTTCATTGATAAAGGGCAGAGTGTTTATGAGGAACTTCTGATGTTCTTTGTGAGATAGTTAAGGCGCGACCGAGCGAGAAAATCTGAAGTACGATATATAACGAGCGGATGCAGGGCCCGGTGACCGCTACTGCGTCGGCTTGGCGACGGCGATCGGTTTTCGAAATACGGCACTGTGAATAGGTCCGGAGTCAAAACACTGGGCGCACGCCAGCCCCCTGAACCGCAGCTACTTCCAGGTTCCATGCACCACGAAGTTTACTCACCCACCCCTAACCGATACATCATGAGTTCATCAAAGTGGGATACGCATGCATTCCGATCATTGAAAGGCGAATTGCAGACTGTCCGACATGGGAAATTCGTGAGAACTTAGCGGAATTTTAGAAAAATTCTGTGTGCGTATTTTTCTGATACGTCATACACTTACTGCAGATCTCGGGAAGCAGTGGCAATGTCTACCAAACAAGGTAAACAAGGAAACAACCAGAACGAAAAAAGTAGCGAGTAATCGGAACAAAAATGGTGGCAATTTCCCGTCTCTCAATGATGGAGGAACTTTCCTTGCGCAAAATAAGAAACGTCTATAAAAACATGGTGTAATGACTGGCTACTATGAGCAATTCTGCCAATTTTTTTATCGATTTTAATATTCTAGCTTTTTTGTTCTATCACACAAATATTAGAATTGGCAACCCCTCTTTTGCTCTTTCATATCTCGTGTTTTTTGCGATTCGTTGTTTCAATAATATTCAATTTCCTTTCCTGCCCTGCACTTTATCTTATTCAGAATGAACTTTCGAAGGGTGTAATCGGAGAGGTAGTGGAGATATCTTAGAACTAGTTAGGAGTTAGTTTGCCTCTCCTGAACCGGATGTGATTGAGAACTCAAGCGGAAAGCGAGTAGCACACAGAGAATTGATGAAAAGTTAATTGTGTTATGCGCTCAAAAGCAGATACAGGACAAAAGCATAGGAATGCAGGGGGCTGAAAAGCTTTCTGGGATAAGTTGAACGGGCGAAGGTGCCAAGGTTTTGAAATAACCTTCGAAATAAAGTGACAATGAGATCCACTGCTTCCACTGGTAGATTTTATGAGCATTCTGAGCAGCCGTTGTTGAGAAATATGCCACACGAAGTAGATTAGGCCAAAAATTTTTGAAGAAGAAAGAAGAAACAAAAGCATTCTTGTAACATAACAATCATTCTCCAAATTAAGGTTGTGTTTTGGTAGGCGAGTGAGCTGAATTGGTGTTTTGAAGAATAGAAACTATTCTTGAAAGGGCTCTTTTCCCTTTCGGAGGGGATGTGCTCAAAATGTTTCAAGGATTTCAAAAAAAACCCTGTTATTTCTCGCAATGGTCTGGAGCGCTCAGAAACTGTGGATAACATACACACACCTTAAACCTAGAAAATATAGGATTATAATGCACCGTAAAGTTTTTGTAGGATCATGCCAAAAGGCATAGCTATACTCCCTTTCAAAAAGTAGAAGAGCGTCGGGTGCAGACCATACACCACAAGTGACGACGGCCTCCACAAAATGTAAATGTTTTCTGCCAATGATTAGCCTGTTGCAGTTGTATTCTATCAGTTGTCACTAATTACAACTATCATTTACCAAAAATCAGCTATCACTATGAACCACTACTAACCAGATTTACTTGGAGGCCGTCGTCACTTGTGGTGTATGGTCTGCACCCGACGCTCTTCTCGTTTTTTTGAAAAGGGAGGGTACAAGTTCACGTCCCTAGATAAGGTATCGCTCAGTTTGCAAGTCACTTCCTCGCCTTAGATAGCATTTAGATCCATCTAATAGGAATTATGAAGTCCTGACGTAACGGCATACTCGACAGTAGAGTGATGTTGATAGTAGTGTTCAAATTTAATAATTTAATTAAAATAATTTAAAAAATATAAAATAATTTATACGAAGTTATACGATGATGATAGTAGTGTTCAAATAATTTAAGAGTAATAGGGCACTAACGATAGGTGGCCTGGTTTTGAAAAAAAAACTCGTCAGAAGTGTTTGAAATAAGGTCGGGTCCGCATGCTGCCATTGAAGCCACGGTTCGAGATTAGCCTCCAAGAGGTCCTCCTTACCAGGAAGGTCTTTCAGGGCGTGCCAAGCTTTTTGAAAACGGTCTTTTGCATGATATAGGGGCAGATGCGGGAACCACAGAACCATGTTAATTTTTCCTGAACGGCCCTCTGAATACCAGAAAAGGGGTCCCTAGTTCGATTCCTCGTGGTGACAAATTTGCATTTCGAGTTGACGTTTCCAAAATTCGCGCAAAATGGAGTTAGCATGAATAATTAGTACCATATTCATGATTAGGACCGTCAGTAACCCTTACAAATAGACTTTGATTAAAAAACTGGTGAAAAAGTTGTGACATCAAAGTGGGGCCGTTTTTGAGCGTGTCTGCCTTTCGTACGACCTAGGGTTTCAAGGTTGCGCCAGTATGAAACCGAGTTG